GTTGTTCTGATCACAAAACATCAGTGTTGTTCTGATCACAAAACATCAGTGTTCTGATCACAAAACATCAGTGTTGTTCTGATCACAAAACATCAGTGTTCTGATCACAAAACATCAGAGTTGTTCTGATCACAAAACATCAGTGTTCTGATCACAAAACATCAGTGTTGTTCTGATCACAAAACATCAGAGTTGTTCTGATCACAAAACATCAGTGTTCTGATCACAAAACATCAGAGTTGTTCTGATCACAAAACATCAGAGTTGTTCTGATCACAAAACATCAGTGTTGCTCTGATCACAAAACATCAGTGATATTCTGATCTCAAAACATCAGTGTTGTTCTGATCACAAAACATCAGAGTTGTTCTGATCACAAAACATCAGAGTTGTTCTGATCTCAAAACATCAGTGATTTTCTGATCTCAAAACATCAGTTTTGTTCTGATCACACAAAACATCAGTGTTGTTCTGATCACAAAACATCAGTGTTGTTCTGATCACAAAACATCAGAGTTGTTCTGATCACAAAACATCAGAGTTGTTCTGATCTCAAAACATCAGTGATTTTCTGATCTCAAAACATCAGTGTTGCTCTGATCACAAAACATCAGTGATATTCTGATCTCAAAACATCAGCGTTGTTCTGATCACAAAACATCAGTGTTGTTCTGATCACAAAACATCAGCGTTGTTCTGATCACACAAAACATCAGAGTTGTTCTGATCACAAAACATCAGAGTTGTTCTGATCACAAAACATCAGTGTTGTTCTGATCACAAAACATCAGGGTTGTTCTGATCACACAAAACATCAGTGTTGTTCTGATCACAGTTCCTCAGGTCTAGTTGTATGTAAGGTCTGCTTGTATGTAAGGTCTACTTGTATGTAAGGTCTAGTTGTATGTAAGGTCTGCTTGTATGTAAGGTCTGCTTGTATGTAAGGTCTACTTGTATGTAAGGTGTAGTTGTATGTAAAGCCTAATCATTCAGACCCATTACAAATACATAGTTTTGTAACATTATAACAATCAAGAATGGATTTTTGGCTTCCCAAAGTGCTCAGATTTTCAGGCTTCCCTGAGGCTGATCATGGTCACAAAAACAGCTAGGATGTAAGTGTTTAAGAAAGTCATCAGTAAATAATAAAGTTTTGCTGCTTGCTCTTTTCTAGTGCTGATTGAAGAAAAGCCATAGCGGCCTCCACAACAGACACCAATTACAAATCACCAATATCAATTGCTATAAAGAAAATTTGTGGCATATGTTTTCGTAATTAGAGATTTCTGGTAGTCTGTGGTGCATATATAGTGTACAGTTTAACTGGTGGATGACAGACTATTTCGTGACTACAATAAATGAATGTAACATATTTCTGTGCCTGTAATATACTTGGCAGACAGATATGAATTTTCTTCGTTTTGAAATATGAACTGACGTTTCCATTACTTAAAAAATTAGCTGCAGGACAAAGTCCTATAACGTGTTATAGGAAAGACATGCACTCAAATAAAATGTTTTGAAACATTTTGAAAATGTCAATTTCTTGTTATGCGCTTTAAAATTGCCTTAACAAAGAACATATTTAGATAGTTTGATGAGGCCATTGGGTCATTACCCACACAAAACCAGAACAACCCTCACGTTACATCGCACACAAAATTGATTTGCTAATTCCTTACAGCCATTATTTTCTGGCTGATGTCGAAATTTTGTGGAATTATTCAATGAGTTTTGATAAAAGACACCTAACTGGATTTCAGATTTCAATTTGTTATCATAATTGATATGTCATATAAAAATATTAAGAACATGAAAAAAACTTTCTGAAATAATAGAATAATATTAAATATTTGTGGGCGAAACTGGTCGACATTGAAATAAATAAGAAACCAACTTATCTCAACCTTGTTGCAATGGATTTTCTTACTTACTTATTCCTCAAGCCCCCCTCCCTCCCCGCAAAATAACGAGTGGTATGAAAATCAAGGGGAAAGCTCTAGATAACAACTAAAGTAATGATGATGGCTCTATTACTTGGATTTATGTCTAATATCACCATTCTCAATATATGACAGAACACCTGAAACAGATTTCCAAACAATGTGTAGGCATTATGTATTGAGTATTTTGAATGGTTAGGAAACAGTAAACTTACAGTCCAGTCTCTGACATGGCATGGAGGTTGGGTAAAAAAAAAAACAACTTTAAACTCTAGGGAGAATAAAGAAAACAACCATTTAGCTGTTGTACTGAAACTGGGGAACTCTTCATCATAACAATCATAACACTTCATTCAGTTTTCATGTACTGTGATTGTAAAATTGTTGGGATATTTGGAGTTACATTAGATCAAGGCATGGTGCCCCAACTTGGGAATTCAGGGCTGATCAGATGTGACATTTTTTTGTTGGAAATATGTTTTGTTGATATTAAAAAGTAGACAAAGTAGACACACAGAGGACTTTGTCTCGTGTTCAAATGTGGGGCATTACATTCAAATAAAACCTTAATGATACAACAAACTTGAAATTTTATACACTTTGAAATGATGGAAGAAGGTAATAATGATGGAATGGGGTACCATACTTATCAGTAGGGAGAGATTGTAGTATTAAATGGTGTTTTAATGAACATCAAGAAGAAAAGGGCAAGTTGACCCAGGGGATATTCTGTATACGTTAACTTTTCAGAGTCTATATGATTTGGCATTTCAGCAGTTTCTAGTTTACCTCTTATAAATATGGACTGCTTCTGTTGAGTATAGAGCACATGCCAATAGATGATTATATTTGTTTATTGGGAAAATGTTGAGCATTTTAAATTTATTTCTTACCTGGAGTCAAAAACTTGTAATTTCTTACTTTTTCCAGTACCTTTATTTAGAATTACACTGACTTTAAGATATCTTGTTTTCCTTTTTTTTTCCTTTTCTTTATACTCTTTCCTAAAAAGAACACCATACATCTTCTATGAATATCATTTTTATGGCACATATCCATTGACATGATACGGGCTGTTAAGCTTTATTTCCGATTTCCACAGAGCATGTTGATATCAGTATTCCTCTCCACCCTGACCTTTTTTATGAATGTTGTTGCTTACTTCTGGAGAGCACGGTTTAGAATTTATTAGTTTCTGTGTGGGGTTTTCTATTTATTTAGTTTCTCATGGAATTACATACCTGTACTTAAACCACTAGTAAAAGCCATCATCTTCCTGGTAATAATTTAGACATGTTTTACTCACTGAGGGGATCGCAGCACAGAAATAAAACTTCAGTTTTGGTGTGAAAGTGTTCAAGTGTAATGGAATCACGGAGGCTTTGAAGTAGTGAGCATGGGCCTTCTGTCATTTTATAATTATCCGCTCATTTCACTGACGAAATTTGCCTTGGTTTATGAGGTAAGGAAAGCTAATGTCACAAAGCGTTTTTGAGAACAAAATAGGTCATCGCGCACTGACAGATTATGATGGAAACCTTTCTCACGCATAAAAAGAAAAATGTTATTCATATTATCTCTCTTGAAAGCCATTTGCCTATATTCTTACATACACCTTTACTAGGTGTGATATGTGGTATAATATCCAGTATATGGTGTTAACATAAGCTACAGTTTTAGTACATCATGGAGTATGATTCTACTGAAGATTTTTATACCAATATAAATGTCAAAAAGATGAATTTCAAATCTAACACTTCGAAATAACTTTTTATCTCAGAGATTGCCTTTTCTGTATGATATATTTTAAAAGATTTTCTTTTTCTAATGGCAGAATTTGAGAACAGAAATGTTCTGCAAATGGGGAAGGTCATAATATTTTCTTCGGTAACCTTTCTGATATACACAAGGCACCATACTTTATATACCTTTGTCTTAGGAATATACTTATGGTGGAGGTGATATTTTATACACTTTCATTAGAAGTTGTACTTCGTATATATATTGGGAGTTATACATCATACACATATACAATATGAAACTAAAACAGTTATTGTGTATCTTGCAATGATTTTTGGTTCAGTTAAAGAGAACAGAGTCTCTACAATTTTATATCAATATTTATTAAATTGAAGAGAAATGCTAGTACTGTGTGTACTTGTGTGGACAGGTATAAAAACCTACGAGATGCCATCCGCGGGCACCTGCATCTCAGACAATGCGGCACAGCGTAGCAGCTGACAATGTCTGAAGCAGCAGGTATTTCTTGCCTTGGTCTGAGCTACCATTTTTAATCTTTCAATACTTACTGGGTACCTGCCCATTATGCTTTTTGTTGAAAATCCCCTACCTGGCATCATGCACGTGTTTTATCCCTTCTAGATGCTACAAAAATGCAGGATATGTATGTCAGTAAAAATAAATATATATGATATTGAATAGGAAATAACGCTGCTTAAAGTTTATAATAGAACGCATAAAAAATGATTATGTGTTAAGCTTACAGTGAATTACCTCTATCTGAATACATGGTCACAATCAGTTCACAAAAATAGCACACACGTTCATTTCAATTATATCAATATTAGTAGTTGTACATCATATGTTTGTTGGGTGTGATACTTAACAAACGTATCAATGTTACTGTAATGATTGTTATAATTCGTTACATTAATACTATCAGTTGTATCTAATTCAGATAGTCTTCCTATGTATATGCTGAGAATCATATTTCACTTTATAGTTTGTTGTAGTGTCTATGTGACTAACCACATTCTCACTTTTACCTGGCAATAAATTACTATTGGAAAGTCCTATTGACCTACTGGTGTATGTAACACATGGAACACAGCAATGTTATTAATCTATGAAATGTGTCTTCAACGTGTATGTACAGTTTACTGCATTCATCATATTGTTAATATTTTTATCTAAACATTAATTATACCTTGTACATTTTTGTTCTATATTTTTACACACCTTGTATATTTTGATATTATGGAGTGGAGGGGATTTTATAAATTTGTTCTATATTTTTACACATATTGTATATTGCAGTATTATGGAGCGGTTGGAGGGGATCAAAATAAACGAGAACAAAAACGTCGACCAAAGCCTAAGGATGGCTCACAGCTTGTTTGTGGGGTATGTGGTGACAAAGCTTTGGGATACAACTTTGACGCCATTACTTGTGAATCATGTAAAGCTTTCTTTAGGAGGAATGCTCTCAAATCAAAGGTAAGTATAGCAGACAGACAATCTCCTGTGTAAATCATACACTTCAGTATCATTTTAAAATCTCAATTGATGTAATTATTGTAAACAGGCTAATTGTCCTTCCCAACCAATCAAAAGTTGCCAAGTGAATTGTGATAAAAAACACCAAACAGTGAAGAAATCCTGAGAATATAGTTAAGAGTGTGTGGCCAGCAGAAATCTAATAGTAAGCATCCTGGGCCATTTCCTGGTAACTATACTAGAACTGTGCCCAGAGATTTGATAGCAAGCATCCTGCGCCATTTCCTGGTAACTATACTAGAACTGTGCCCAGAGATTTGATAGCAAGTGTCCTGGGCCATTTCCTGGTAACTATACTAGAACTGTGCCCAGAGATTTGATAGCAAGCATCCTGGGCCATTTCCTGGTAACTATACTAGAACTGTGCACAGAGATCTGACAGCAAGCATCCTGCGCCATTTCCTGGTAACTATACTAGAACTGTGCACAGAGATCTGACAGCAAGCGTCCTAGGCCATTTCCTGGTAACTATACTAGAACTGTGCCCAGAGAATTGATAGCAAGTGTCCTGGGCCATTTCCTGGTAACTATACTAGAACTGTGCACAGAGATCTGACAGCAAGCGTCCTGGGCCATTTCCTGGTAACTATACTAGAACTGTGCCCAGAGATTTGATAGCAAGTGTCCTGGGCCATTTCCTGGTAACTATACTAGAACTCTGCCCAGAGATCTGACAGCAAGCATCCTGGGCCATTTCCTGGTAACTATACTAGAACTGTGCCCAGAGATTTGATAGCAAGTGTCCTGGGCCATTTCCGGGTAACTATAATATAGCTGTGCCCAGAGATCTGACAGCAAGTGTCCTGGGCCATTTCTTGGTAACTATACTAGAACTCTGCCCAGAGATCTGACAGCAAGCATCCTGGGCCATTTCCTGGTAACTATACTAGAACTGTGCCCAGAGATTTGATAGCAAGTGTCCTGGGCCATTTTCTGGTAACTATACTAGAACTGTGCCCAGAGATCAGACAGCAAGCGTCCTGGGCCATTTCCTGGTAACTATACTAGAACTGTGGCCAGAGATTTGATAGCAAGTGTCCTGGGCCTTTCCGAGATCAGCATGGTATTGGAACTAACTGAATAATAAGCTGTCATTTATAGAATTCTTTTGATATCCCTGTCTGGTCCTATTTAACTGATATTCTTTTAAACACATTTTCTTTGTTTAATAGCAGATGTAATCTTTTAAATTAGTTCTAGAAAGAAAATTTGTTTGTCATGAAAATCTAGACAATCATATTTGGAGTAGAGAAAATTTTGCGTGTTATCATGTGCAAAATATCGCTGTCCTATTTTTTTGCTCCTTCAGGCTTACAATTTACAATTATGAATGTGAAATTTTCTGAAGAGTTTCTCCAATATTCTTTGTTCTGTATTCAGCTAAAATGATGAAGTGATGAAAAATTGCATGTACGCATCAAAGCGAACGTCTATGATGTTTTAAATAAATGTCTGGTTTTTGTCATGGAATCTATAACAATGACAAGACAACATAGAAACTCAATTTAGAAATATCCAAACCTGGCATATTCTCTGTGCCTAATGAAGGAAATCATTCAGTATTGCAAACAAGATGATCTTCCTCAAGGTCATCTCACTTCAGTCATTTCAAATTCATCTTCTATAATTGAACTTCAGTCAATAAAGGGCAACAAGAAATTATAATATGCCTTCAGCAGCTTCATCGTGGTCACCTCAAGAACACCATTTCTCATTTGTTTTTGATAACATGTATTTTTTTTTATAATTCCACAAAAATTCCTTGATTGGTGAATTTGATAATAGATTGAAAAGATTTTTCACAAGTGTAAAAATTTATTTCAAAATCTTTAAATACCACAAAATGGAGTTTATTATGTCCCATTAAAAAAAGTTAAAACAAAAATATCAGATACATACCTACGACAGGGGTCTGTATACTTCAGGAAAATTATGATTGATAAGTACAATAATGTGTGTGTGTAAGGTTGTAATACAGGGGTGAGGAGTACAGAAGGGACAACATATTGGCCCTTATCCATCATTTTACCACTCATTAACACTGCTCAGCGTGTTTTATCTTGAAACACACGTCTTAGGCAACATAAACTGATTACTCAGAGAAAAAAGCGGTGATTTTAGAAAGAAAAATTCTCAAATTTGTCATACTTAATTCCTTATAAATCTCATTACTAAGGTGTAAGGCTTCTCATATTTACAGCTTTTTTTTAATTTTTTTTTTAATCTCTTTCAACAAAATTTGTCATTCTTAAAGCTCTAGGATTTGCATTGTGCAGCTATGAAAGTGATAATGTCAGTGTATTTGAAAGAAAAAAAGAAAAAATGTAGTACTCTTTGCACAATCTAACATTATAATATAATACTTTATGTTTCACTGTACTTTTTCACACAATTCCCTATACACCTCTACAGTATTAATGTTGTCATTTTTTTCTATAAATTTGTACACATGTTAATTCATCTCTATTTTTTCTCTTTGAAATATTTTTTCATGTTTTAAATTTGATTTGAAATTAAGTTGATTTTGTTATGTTTTGTTATTTTAACTTGTGAATGAGGACATTTTTTCCTTGTTTTTAAACGTCAGTTTTAGCTCTTAGTAATAATCACTACATGCTGCTGTGCCATAATTCATGAATCTTAACAGATATCCCTTCTTTGTTTTTTTTTCTACAATTTTTTCTTCCTTTGCCTACTGAGTACATGATAGAAATTCTCTGTATGTGTTTATTTACAAAGAATAAATATCACATCAAACGAGTAGAAAAATTGCTACTTTTAATAAATATGGCATAATTATGTCATTTTTGTCATCCTTAAATTCTGGATCTAGATCATGTACATAGACAATGGATTATTCCTGAACATTTCTTGAGAGATTTACCTGGTATAAAATATCTAAATATCCAGTAGTTGATAACCAAACATTATTAATATATACAACCTAATGTATTCAGGATTTTAATGCTTAAACAGTAAGGTTTGATTGTTACTTATTTTAGATTAATATATTCAATCCGATCTGCTGTGGATATAAATTGTATGCATGTACAAAGGAACTTCCCTGGACAAGCCAGGCATGGGACAGGCTAGTTTAGTGCAGAAGTACTGGTCCAGACTTGGATATAATTTGGTTAGATTTTATTCTGTATATTACATTAACTGTCCCATTTACCATATAAATATCCATTTGAATAAAGAATAACAAACACTTCAGAGAGTACCCAAAAAAAGATAGTAAAAACTGAAATGTATTCATTTCTAATTATAGATTTATATAATCAAAATGTTGTATTTAGGATTTTGAATGAAAATTATATGGTCTAGCAGCTATATGTAGGTGAATATTAAAGCTGTAGTAAATAAAATTTTAATGATAAAAAATGATAAATTTTAGTGATAGAAACAATAAAGGCTACAGGCTGATTATAAGTCAATATTTAAACTGGTGTGTTTCAGAATTTAATTTTAAAAACAATAAGTTGAAATTATAAAAACAATAAAGTTTAGCGACTATAGATCAATGTCAAACCTGTTGCATTTAGGATGTTAATGATAAAAACAATTAATAATTACAAGTCAAGGGGCTATAGGTCAACATCTAACCTGATGTATTTCATATCTTAATGATAAAAGTCTTGATGTAAATTAATAATCTATTTAAGGATATTAATCGTGAGAAAACAGCAAAATTATAAAAAAAAAATCATAAATTATTGAAATTGTATATTGTTATTGATGTTTGTATAATTTTGATGGTGATAGAAATATAAAGATAAATTCTAGTGGCTATTAATGTGGATTGGAAACAGCTGATGTTACCTGCTGTTTAAAGGGATATACAAATTACTGAAGATAAAGTGATATAAAACAATAAATTCATTGTACTTTATAATTACAAAACAACTAAAGGCAATAAATTTACTTACTTTGATTTAACAAATGTAGCTTTAAACTAAACTTTTACATTGTATATGAGTTAACAAATGTAGCTTTAAACTAAACTTTTACATTGTATATGTATTGATCATGGAACTGATTTTCCAAATATTGATTTGAAAATCATTGAGCTAAATTTATCCAATATCAACAAATGTAATTTGAACTTCCATCTTTTAACAAGAATAGTTAGTGCCACGTTTCCTGCCTTTGTTTGTACCTAAGAAATCACAAAAGTGTCTTATAGGAAGATTATATCAGGTATGTTTCTCTGTCTTCAAAAACATAGTAAATTTAAGAAATTTTGACTTCTGTATACTTACAAAACTTGTCTGGTAGTCATTTTTTTTTTTCTCGAAATCTTCACATATATAATTCAACCTATAATCAACCATACAACAGCTGGATGTGGTCGCTAGAAATAATTCACCTCAAATAGTAGGTTGGTGAAGTCAGGGATTAGTAAAACAAGGTCAGATCCCAGTACAGTAAGGTCAATAGCATAAGGTGAGAGGACAGTAGAGCGTAAAGTCAGTAACATAAGGTCAGAGGTCAGCACAGTAGGTTCATTTTGTGATAGATTTATTTGTTTTGACCTTGGTCAAGTTTTCCTGTCTGTTGTATAACATAATTATAGATACTCTTTTGTTGTGTACATTTCCTATCAGAGTCCTTGTTTAAATCTCCCAAAATATTAACCTAAACACAAAACATATTTTCAGAAGTGTTATTGAGAGCTATAACAGTATTTGTGCATTCAATATACGGACGGCAATACAACTCTATAGACAACACCTCACAGGTCAATCTATAATGCTACAAAAATTGTTGTTATAAAGGGTTATCTGGACCTGGGGCGTTATGTATTATGCACTGTAGACTTTTTTCTTTTATCAATTTTAAGGAAAATAATTTTGGAATAAGAACAGATATTGGGACCAACAATTGTCACTTATTGGCAAAGAAAGAAATGCCATTGATATCCGGAATATTTTCAGCATGTTTTGGTAATTTAGTCACAAATTCTATGGTAAAATTAGATTTATTCTAAACTAATTTTGGGAGCTAGAAAGTTTCTATAACTGTTCTACTTTAATCCTTCCAGCCTTCAAATTTTTCTCAAGTATGAATAATTGAAATGCCTTGCTCAGACAAATGATTCTAATCTGGCAAACAAAGTTATGATCCAATTGAAGCGCCAGTGCTCACTGTTCGTATGGAACCCATGTAGCATTTCAATGAACTCCTTACAGTGTGTACAATACGGTACATGTACCACCATTCCTAAATACAAATTCCCGCAGCTTGGCCAACCCAGTGCAAGTCTTTCTATTTTGAATATTTGAGTACCTGCGCAACTCACCTTATAGTTTGTTCAATTATTTCTGATAACCTGCATAACATTGACAGTTAGTACCAGGATCTGACCCTGTTTGTGATTGTCACATCTCCAGATAAAACCCATCCTAAATCTTCTCTCAGCTTCAAATACATGTAAACAATTTAGAGTAGGTTGTTTAAACTCTCATTGTTTTCAATAATGGAACATTAATGCATAAATTCCAACATGGAGGATTAAACTTTGACTGATGTTGTGTTAAACTTAAGAAATAGTTCAAACCTCTTAAAGACCATGAAGTTATAGCCAATGTATCTATGCTTTTTTTTTTCTTTTTTCTAGCTTATAAAAAAATTTAAAGCACTTTAACATTGTAAGTGTTGAAGACTATGTATTATCAGTCCAATGTCACAAATTAATGCATAGAAATGTAGGATAAACATTGAATATATCACACCTTACTTGTCAAATTGCAGTGCTTATTGTATGAATGAGTTTAAACGTTAACACACACAAAATAGGTTAAGATAAAATGCATTTCATATGATCGTTCATCGTCTTACACCTTTAATTTTGAAGGAGATGACAGGAAATTATCCTCAACAGAACATTTCTTTAAAACCATAATGTTGTATTTTATCTCTGATTCATGAGATTATCTACCTACATATATTTGAGCTTTTATTATTTTTAAAGATTTCCAGAATATTGAATTTCATTTTAACATATTTGCTTACTTTTTACATTTAAAATACATTAAACTAAATTTATATTTCATTTATCAAAATAAATGTCCTTTCTGTCCTTGTAATGAGATTAAGTTAAAAGACTTTGCAATAATTTACAGTAAACTGCCTGAAGCGACAATTTTAGTTGATATCTGCACAGTGATGTGCTCTGCTGATGTTATGGAACCAACATATCAATTATCTATTACTGTGACTCCATACATGGCGACTCTTTTTACTTCTATACATATCCCACACAAAGAAATATGTATAGTTTTCCTATAAAGTCTATGATAGTACAGTCACAATATTAGTCAACAGAAAATTAATTACAGACAGTCTGAGGTGAAAAGTGCTTTATCATAGCATGAACATGGACTTCAGTATCAAAGCAAGTATTTACGCTCTGATTCTGCAGCTACCAATAACACATGATTCACATATGCTTGTACCTGAAAGAAAATTCTCAGTATCCTTGTTAGTCATTAAAGGGAGCTAACTGGAAATTGATTAAATAGTTTTGAAAATATATTGCATTACATTAAATAACAGATTACAGAGTTTTATTTGTTGAGGTGTCCATTAGTCAATCTCAAAACGCAATTGTATTAAATTCCTGACAACTTTTATTAAGTGTTATATTAGAAACAATTGGTTGAGATTTATTATACATTGAATCAGTTCCTTGAAGAGGTTTGTCTGGTCATTTGGAGTTGACTTGACTTTGGTACAGAAGGTGTCAGTTTGGTTAGTATTTATGTGAAGGAGAAATCCTTTGATGTCTTTCATGTTCATCTCTACAGAGTGGGGAATAAGTCCTGTGCAATCGCCTAGTCATCCATTATTGACGAGGCGGGGCTGATAATAATATCCGTGAGATACTATTGATCGTGGTTGCCTTGTGCACTAAACCAATAACTAGTAAAACAGGCGCACCACTCTTTTGGAATTTACACACCTGCAAGCTCTTTTTTTCTCCCATTTTTGTACCGTATTTCAATTTTTTTCCACATCATATCTATCTTTCATGATCCATTTTACATGTGGTCTATTTTTGGACACTACCGAAATCCAATCTTATCCCTTCCTAGAAAGCTCTTCTTTAATTAGCATTGATTATTTTGGCGTCATCAATGCACCGGTTTGACCTGTGAACATGCATTGTGCTGGAGCGACTGGAACGTGTTCATTATTCATTACACCCAAATACAGAACACACATGCTCGAAAGCTTTAAAATGTGAAGTTGAAACTTACCTTTGTAATGTTAAGTGTTAATGGCCTCCAGCGGAGCTAGGTAAACCAGGATTGATATCATGTGTCTCATCACTCAGTTGTTCTGTTATATCAATATTCTCTTGATTATTTTCCACAAAAGGTCATCAGGTTTATAGTAAATTCATGAAAAGATGCAAAATATTGCATATTTTTTGCGGGGTGGGGGTTTTATCTCAATATTGTGTCAAAATTATCAACAGGAAATGTTCTTTGCTTATAAACCTTATGCCTTCATAATTCTTAAACCATGGTATTGTTGCTGTGATATTTCATTTTCCAAATTAATTGTTTTATGTTCAATCCCCCCTGAACTAGTGACATCCAGGATATTAAAATTTGTCCTGGCTTCACTACTGAGATCAAGGATTTTTCAGAAAGTCTGTCTAGGCCTAACTACTGAGATCTAGAATTTTTCAGAAAGTCTGTCTAGGCCTAACTATTGAGATCTAGGATTTTAAAGATTGTCACATTTATTGAGATACTTGGTATATGTGGCTGCTTCATCTTGCCTGGTTTAAGAGTCAAACTAACTCACAAAATGGTATATTGTTGTTGTCACTGATTGATCAGGACTGGGCTTTAGTGGTCATGATGTTGAAAATAAATTTTTCTCGTCTTTTAATCCCTATTTCATGGATGATTTATTTTTCATGCTTGAATTAGTCTCAGAAGAAAGATCTGAATATTTTCTATTGCCTCCAAGGGTGAACGGTCACATATGCTTCATACATACACGTACATATGTATGTCTTATTTGTATTAATGGCTGATTCTTAAATAGAGCAGTCTTACATATCATAAATGACAAAAGTTCTTCTACAAAAAAAACTGAATTTATTTATTTTTGAAAATGGCTTCCTTCACCATTGTAAAGTTGAGAGATGACATTAAGTCAATCCTGTTTATACGCTACCCTTAACAGTCTATCAAATTGTCCTAGGTCACGGCTCTGTCATATCTGTATGGTAAAAAATTCTTTTGATTGGTTGTTAGTTTCAGATTATATGACGGATTGTAACTGGACTGTGACCACTACTGTCACATGGCGCGACAGCAATGGCTCCTTGCCATTACGGCCAGTTGTGTGTAACATTAGTGTAATAAATATTCTCCGAGACAGAAAAACTCCTGACTGTCTTTTTATGTCCTATAAAATGTTTCAAAAATTGACATGATGAAAGACTAAAAATTGGTGAATTCATTGAACCATGAAATGAAGTTTTACATTTTAGACAGTGTGTATATAAGAACACTACATGAAGGTTATGAAAAAACTTCCCAAATTACTGTTGTGCTGCACTTCATTTATTACAAGCTTTCCACCAACACATTATTTATATGACTGGTATTTTATAATAACATATAAACCATGGCCAAATTATTTCATTGTAAACAAAATTAAATGTTTACATATACAAAAACAAAAAACTGTGGAACATGATAAAATGAGGTTTATATATAAAGCTTGCTTGATTGTAGTAATCTTGATAGTTAAAGAAAATATATCAGAGATTTTTACCTCCAACAGGAACTGTCAGAGAAGTAATGTCGTCCTAGCAAATCTTATCTTCAAACTGAAAATTCCACCTAAAGATTATGTCTATCAATCCTCTGTTAAACCTGATTACAGATAAGTTTTTAGATCTGGAGAAAGTATCCACATAAAACAAGGAGTTGCCTTCAGGATCAGATTACATTTCATCATTTGAGATTCCTGCTGTCTCAATTAGGGAGAGATCTTGTGACCCATATTTCAGGTCATAAGAGCAAGGTTGTGATTGGTCATTGTATTCATACAGTTGATTGGTTGGGTATGTTGTCATTTGATCTTATAACTGGAGATATCGATGCAAAGATTAATAGGTAATAGAGGATGTGACAATCAGTGCAGCCGTGCTGCATTACAACATATCTGTTAAATTCTCCCATGAAAAGGGTCCATCTTTAAAGGCAAGACAGCATTGATTTTCTTTCTTTTGTTCATCATTTTGTTAGGTTATATAGTTTCTTCTCCCACACAAAGGGATTAAAAAAAAACCAAGAAAAAATATAACCCTGATGGTCAATAAAACTAGCAGATAAGTATTAAAGGAAGGGGTATTGTCTTGTACTAACATATAAAAACTACAGCAGAGTTTGGTGAAAATTTAATGTTTCTTTATTCATGTAAATTTTGAGCAACATGGTTTATAATTATGCAATTTCAATAATTGAATGAATTGCGATTTCACCAAACATGAAAATGTTTTTCAGTGGAATTTAAGAAAAACAAAGCTAGCTTATGTTGTAGCATTCCTGGTTGAAAGACAGTCATATACATTTATTTTCTTCAAAGTACAAGATTGATCATGCTGTAGAAAAAAGCTTGGAGCATGCCAACATTATATATATGTAATACAGTGCCCCTCCTTTCACAGATGTTGCCCGGGATGGGAACAGGTAGCGGAGCGGGCCTTGGGACTAATGTAAGCATATCATTTATTATCTAAGACTAATCCGAATTCTCTATCCTCAACAAATGTAACCCATCTTTTTCACGTCACAAAAACTCTTTCTTCTGTCCAATGCTTCACTTCAACATTACATTCCTGTCTTAAATGTTAGAATTTTTATTTAAAGTTTTATTTTCAAAATAAATGGTTTTCACATCAATTTGATCATTCAAATTAAGGAAAATATTTATTAAGAATCTATTTTATATATAATTATATTTCATTTAAATTTTAAAATATATATATATATGAACAATTTTCTAAACATATATTTCAGATTAATGAAAATGTTTCACTTGTTTTCTTTAGGTCTATAATAATTTAACAAGCATTCTGCAAAAACCTTATTTTCCAACCATACACTGATTAAATATACTTAAAGCAGGGTTTGACACTAACTTTAATTCTCTAGGCCAAAACAAGTTTCAGCAGGGACTGGAGAATCAAATCTCCTGATGCCAAAACTGTCCTCTGTCAGAATCAGGCAGGCATTGATAAATCATTGAATAAAAATTCTTTTCACATTTTGCTTAAAATGTCATCCCCATTTAGTTGTCAGAATTGTTTGTGATATTTATAACACCTGTTGATAACCATGGTGGGAATGTTGCTGCCATGAAAAATCTTTCTGGGTTTCTTGGGTTGTCCGGGTATGTAGAGTTAGTGTCTAACCCTGTCAATGTGTGTTTTATTTTCAGTTTTCTGTTTTCTATTGAATATATATTGATATATGTATATATAAACAAAATATATTATTTTATTTTCAGTCTTTGATTTTTTAATGATATTCTAATTCTTGTTAATCCCCAATATTTCAAGTAAAACTTTCTGATACCATTTTCGCAAGGATATTTTTACTATTTCACAGAGATATAATGTAAGTGAGAAAATTTAATCCACAAAAAAATATGCGGTGTAAATTTCATCCATGATATGGAGTACAATAAAACTCTTTTCGTATCAGTCTTATCACAAGTTCTGAACTGCTATTATCCAAGGGTACACAGGACTATGAAATTTGTTCGGAGCAGATTAAATGTTACATAATACAGATAATTTGTTACATAGGCATATACAGGAGCTCGATTGATAAATCAAAAATCACTAATTCATGAAAATTATATATCCTTTTATGACCTGATTGGAAAATATTAAAATGTTACAAATTAGTTCACCTGTTTTAAATGAAAATAAGAAAATTTTTACCTGCAAAAATAACAGGCTGCAAGCATATGATACATGGATGATAATACAGATATAGTTGCTTAATGGTACAAAGTCACCACTTAATACTCTCTCATGGCTTCCTCCTGATATAGCCTAGTTTTGAAGGAGATTAGAAAATTATCTATTTTTGAAAAGAAAAAAAGTGCTTTATGACAAAAAAAATTTCAGAACAAATTTCAGAATGTAAAAAGTAGAACTAAATATAAAGTTCTTTGAAAAATATGGTCACATTATAATAAACAGCATATACACCTGAAAAGGACAACACTAAATACTAAAGCTATTGTTATTCACACTTCAGTGTAAATTGAATTACATGATATGTACTAAGAAATGGTAACACTAAATATTCAAACATGAACATTGTAGTCATCCCTCTACAATGTAAAGTTTAATTCATACAGCTTATGTTCTTCTTGCAATAAAATTAAATGACAAACAGCTTATGCCACTGTGTTATATAATACTTAAAATTGCAGCAAGTAAAATTACCTCATAATTTATAAAGTACCACGTGTGATGCACCTCCTAATGATATATATAACGTTGTATCTGAAATGATATTCTGTAAAGGGTTCTTTTATTCTTTGTACAATTTCTGCAAAAGCTTGATAAAAAAGTTGGTTTTTTTTCTTGTTTTTTAGGATGTCATGAAATAGATATATGGAATATAATATTTTTTTTTCATAGAATTTTCATATTTTTATAGAAAAGATGGTTATTTTTCATAAAATATCTACTCATTATGAAATAGATTATAAATGGGTAAGTTATGATAAAATACTGAGTACTTGAAATATAGAGTGTAAGTGTACAGTGCAGTAAAATATTTTGTCCTTGAAAGATAACAGTGTACACGTATAATTAATAATAAAATATTTTGTCCTTGAAAGATACAGTGTACATGTGTAATTAATAATAAAATATTTTGTCCTTGAAAGATACAGTGTACATGTGTAATTAATAATAAAATATTTTGTCCTTGAAAGATACAGTGTACATGTATAATTAATAATAAGATATTGAGTGTGCGAAAGATACAATGTACATTTGTAATCAATTTTAAAATATTTTGTCCTTGAAAGATACAGTGTACATGTGTAATTAATAATAAAATATTTTGTCCTTGAAAGATACAGTGTACATGTGTAATTAATAATAAGATATTGAGTGTGCGAAAGATACAATGTACATTTGTAATCAATTTTAAAATATTTTGTCCTTGAAAGATACAGTGTACATGTGTAATTAATAATAAAATATTTTGTCCTTGAAAGATACAGTGTACATGTGTAATTATAATAAAATATTGAGTGCTTGAAAGATACAGTGTACATGTGTAATTTAAAGTAATATATCTTATCCATGAAAGATATAGTGTACATGTGTAATTTAAAGTAATATATCTTATCCATGAAAGATACAGTGTACATGTGTAATTTAAAGTAATATATCTTATCCATGAAAGATATAGTGTACATGTGTAATTTAAAGTAAAATATCTAATCCTTGAAAGATACAGTGTACATGTGTAATTTAAAATAATATATCTTATCCTTGAAAGATACAGTGTACATGTGTAATTCATAATAGAATATCTTATCCTTGAAAGATACAGTGTACATGTGTAATTTAAAGTAATATATTTTATCCTTGAAAGATACAGTGTACATGTGTAATTCATAATAGAATATCTTATCCTTGAAAGATACAGTGTACATGTGTAATTTAAAGTAATATATCTTATCCATGAAAGATACAGTGTACATGTGTAATTTAAAGTAATATATCTTATCCATGAAAGATATAGTGTACATGTGTAATTTAAAGTAATATATCTTATCCATGAAAGATACAGTGTACATGTGTAATTTAAAGTAATATATCTAATCCTTGAAAGATACAGTGTACATGTGTAATTTAAAGTAATATATCTAATCCTTGAAAGATATAGTGTACATGTGTAATTTAAAGTAATATATCTTATCCATGAAAGATATAGTGTACATGTGTAATCTAAAGTAATATATCTTATCCATGAAAGATATAGTGTACATGTGTAATTTAAAGTAATATATCTTATCCATGAAAGATATAGTGTACATGTGTAATCTAAAGTAATATATCTTATCCATGAAAGATATAGTGTACGTGTAATCTAAAGTAATATATCTTATCCATGAAAGATACAGTGTACATGTGTAATTTATAATAAAATATCTAATCCTTGAAAGATACAGTGTACATGTGTAATTTAAAATAATATATCTTATCCTTGAAAGATACAGTGTACATGTGTAATTTAAAATAAAATATCTAATCCTTGAAAGATACAGTGTACATGTGTAATTTAAAATAATATATCTTATCATGTGTAATTTAAAATAATATATCTTATCCTTGAAAGATACAGTGTACATGTGTAATTTAAAATAAAATATCTAATCCTTGAAAGATACAGTGTACATGTGTAATTAATGATGGAATGTATGCTATTGTTATGAAATAAGTATAAATGTGTGATACATAAGGAATACCTTATCATCCTTACAAAATACAGTGTACATATGTATAATCATTCAAAATAGTTTATCTAGGCCTAATAAAACACAGTACACTTACCTTCATGCATTGAAATCTAAAAGATAAACAAAAGTGCATACCAATTATTTTAATAACCTCAGAATATTAGAAACAACATTTTTGAAATGAAAGTATTTACTTGTACAGGTATTTACTGTATAGATAGTTTACTGTGGTATGAGTGATTGTGATGTGTACCTGAAGTAAACCTTTTACAATATTCATGGAATTTCGCTCTCAATTAAGACCAGATTAACTAAACACCGTATGTATGAAACAACAATATTATGAGATGTCTAGCCTGGTAGTAATCAGTGGTGTGTCTCATGTCACATGACATTAATGTACCTGTCCTGAGAATACAGGTACAACCAATAGTCGCAGTAGTCAGAATTTATCTTCTCAGTGGGTGTAAAAGTCACTTAGATGACAGATGAATGGTCAGTTGTCTGGTCTTTAGATCAAACCTTGTGACCTTAGAAATTGGTCCATCTTAAATTTAACAGTTTTGTTCAAAAATGAATTTAAGGAAAATTTAAAACAAAATATATCATTGATGATAGTCATGAATGATGATTTAGGTATATATCTTATTGTCTTCCTTTAAAGAGTGAAAGAAAATGTAAAGCTAAGAGAAAAAGTTAATCATTTTTGACTTGTAGAAGATTTATGTGTAAGCAGGATTATATCAATTTGGCTGTTTTATTACTTTTTGGAAGGGGAACAAATATTTTGTTCTGGTGAAGGGAAGAAATGTGGCATTTCCGTGGTGTCTGTCTGACTTTGGCACAACTATGGTATTGTGTGTTTCCTTATAGTCAGGTGCAAGTCACTTATCAGGCTGCAATGGCTTCTCAAACTAGAAATATTTTTTAGTTTGAGTGGCACAGAAAAGTCTCCTAGAAAAATTAGATTTTCCCAAGATAAAATGTCATAAATTATGCTGTGTACTAATAATAATGAAAACACCCTGTATAGTTTTTACCAGGAATTTTTGAGCACTTTGCTTGCTTGTGTTAAGATCACAAGAGTTCAGCACATAAATCAATTTTGTATCATCCTAGGAAATCTTTGTTTAAAAACCCAAAGCTTGTCCTCTCCAGTATTTAGGCTTGTGATCGCACAGCACACATCCTTCTTCTATTCATGCTGGGTGTTTTATTATGTTCATCTCGATTTTAATGTTTCCCAGAATTAAAACCTAATGACTTTGCGTGGATTTCCCACTATTTTGTGATGTTCTTTAGCTATGTGGTAAATTAGACAGGGAAATATGCTGAGAGCTGCACTTTGAACTTAAAACTTATAACGGTCATCATAGGATACTGTACACATGTAAACAATTGGATAAGCTACATAATACCAACTCAGTATGGAGACTGAACCCCATTTAATTGTTTCCATGAACCGTATAACACCACAGGATAAAGAGAGTTGAATTTTACATGAAAGATCTTTTATACTCAATTTGTGTGGATATCTACATTACATAGCAATGCAGGCAAGGAGCATTCAGATCTCCAAAGTTCATAGACCCACAGTAGTTATCTCTTAAGTCTTTAGACACACAGTAGTTATCTCTTAAGTCTTCAGACACACAGTAGTTATCTCTTAAGTCTATAGAACCACAGTAGTTATCTCTAACTCATAGAACCGCAGTGGAATTATCTAGTCCAGAGACCAGCACATTCTCTCTCTCAAGCCCTTAGACCTACAGTAGATGCCTCTCAAGCCCTTTGACCCATAGTAGATGCCTCTCAAGCCCATAGACCCACAGTACATGCCTCTCAAGTCCTTAGACCCACAGTACATGCCTCTCAAGCCTTTTGACCCACAGTAGATGCCTCTCAAGCCCATAGACCCACAGTAGATGCCTCTCAAGCCCTTTGACTCATAGTAAATGCCTCTCAAGCCCATAGACCCACAATAGATGCCTCTCAAGCCCATAGACCCACAGAGGATATCTCAAATTCAGAGATATCTCCAAAACACATAAACTCAGAGCAAATATAAAAAATTCAATAGGTCTGCAGTAAATAAATATCTACAGAGCAGATATTTCCCTGAAATCTATAGCCCCAAAAAATCATGTCTCAAATTTGTCACAGCCTATCAAAATTAAGAATGATGACATCTCTAAAGTCTAGGGACATATGCATCATTGCCCATAGAAATTTTGAGTGAAGACATCTCTAAAGTCTTCTGACTTATACATCATTGCCCATAGAAATTCTAAATGCAGACATCTCTAAAGTCTTCTGACTTATACATCATTGCCCATAGAAATTTTGAGTGAAGACATCTCTAAAGTCTAGGGACTTATAGATCATCGCCCATAGAAATTCTAAATGCAGACATCTCTAAAGTCTAGGGACTTATAGATCATCGCCCATAGAAATTCTAAATGCAGACATCTCTAAAGTCTAGGGACTTATAGATCATCGCCCATAGAAATTCTAAATGCAGACATCTCTAAAGTCTTCTAACTTATACATCATTGCCCATAGAAATTCTAAATGCAGACATCTCTAAAGTCTTCTGACTTATACATCATTGCCCATAGAAATTTTGAGTGAAGACATCTCTAAAGTCTAGGGACTTATAGATCATCGCCCATAGAAATTCTAAATGCAGACATCTCTAAAGTCTAGGAACTTAGTTTCCATAGCCCGCAAAAATAATTCTAGTAACCACGCATGACATTCATTAATTTCATTATTCTATAAGTATTTTTTTTGTATAGAATGAAATCACCATTGTGAAAAGTAATTTCATTTAGATGGTAGAAACTGGGAGGTTTTAATTTAAAGGGGATATAATAAAAATACTAAGGTTAAAAAAAATTGAAAGCCAGAGGTGTGTTAGACATGCTCACATGTGTCATATAGTTAGTGTGATTTAGACTTGTTACATTTTCACTAGTTTGATTTTGACTTAACATATTTCGAATTTTGAATAGTTAGATTTTGACTTTGTTGACTTAGACAAGTTTGATTTTGACTAAACATATTTCGAATAGTTAGATTTTGACTAGTTAAATTTTAATTAGTTAGATTTCTATCAGTAATTTTTTTGACTGCTTTTATATTGTCTATGTTGAATTTGACTAATTTAAGATTTTGACTAGTATAATTTTGACTTATTAGATTTTGACTTGTTTAATTTTGGCTCATTAGATTTTGACTAGTTTAATTTTCTTTTTTATGACTTTAGGTCAAATTTTGACTAGATAAATTTGAACTAATTAGATTTTTTCACAAGTTTGATTTGGACAAGTTTGATTTTTTGTAATGACACCTGTTAAATGGAGGATCACTTGTCTTTGTAGTTCTTTACTTGTAATTTTGATGAGTTTGTTGCTTTCAGTTGTTTTGAAAGTGATTACCTTTTGTTTTAACCATCATTTATTTTCCGTGATGAGTAGGTGGTTGAATGAATTAAAGTTTGAGTTTTTACCTTGTTTGGTAGGGATTACCTGGTTGATTACCTGTGAGATTAATTACCATTTTTTTACCTTGTTTGGTAGGGATTACCTGGTTGATTACCTGTGAGATTAATTACCATTTTTTTACCTTGTTTGGTAGGGATTACCTGGTTGATTACCTGTGAGATTAATTACCTTTTTTTTTACCTTGTTTTGTAGGGATTACCCGGTTGATTACCTGTGAGATTAATTACCATTTTTTTACCTTGTTTGGTAGGGATTACCTGGTTGATTACCTGTGAGATTAATTACCATTTTTTTACCTTGTTTGGTAGGGATTACCTGGTTGATTACCTGTGAGATTAATTACCATTTTTTTTACCTTGTTTTGTAGGGATTACCCGGTTGATTACCTGTGAGATTAATTACCATTTTTTTACCTTGTTTGGTAGGGATTACCTGGTTGATTACCTGTGAGATTAATTACCATTTTTTTACCTTGTTTGGTAGGGATTACCTGGTTGATTACCTGTGAGATTAATTACCATTTTTTTACCTTGTTTGGTAGGGATTACCCTGTTGGTTACCTGTGAGATTAATTACCATTTTTTACCTTGTTTTGTAGGGATTACCCTGTTGGTTACCTGTGAGATTAATTACCATTTTTTTACCTTGTTTGGTAGGGATTACCCTGTTGGTTACCTGTGAGATTTATTACTAGTTTTTTACTACCAGTTTTTTACCTTGTTTTGTAGGTCTTTGAAGGACATTGTCTTTGATTAGTACTTGTTATCATGTAGTTCTAAGCCTCCATGTGTTTGATGTTTTGTAGGTGTTTCTGTTATGATTACCCATTATATGCTTTATTTTGTAGGTGTTTACGTGTAGTTTTGATGGCAACTGTAAGTTAGATACACACACAAGAAAATTCTGCTCAGGATGTCGGCTGAAGAAATGTTTTGATATAGGCATGAAGAAAGACTGGATATTAAGTAAGTAATAATTTGTGAAGAAAGCAATTTTCTGTACCAAATGTGAAAAACAAAAACATTAAGCAATTTAAACAAGTCTCTGATCTGTTTCTAAAAATATTTCCAGACAAAATGAAACAGTTGGTTGTAGTTACATTAAATCAATAAATAATGAAAGTACTTGTATTGGTCCCCAAAATAAATCCTATATTCTTCACATCAAAATTACGCATTATAGCCATTTGCCTTTATTTTTAACAGCACCATCGTAACGCCATATGATACCTTCCTATGGAAACAACCAATTGCATATAACACCCTGGTTATTATGGCCATCTGAATTTGATACATTATATCACAGAACTTATTGAGTATGAGATTTATCTAGCTCTAGAGATCTTGTATGATATTTATCCAGCTCCAGAGATCATGTATGATATTTATCCAGCTCCAGAGATTATGTATGATATTTATCCAGCTCCAGAGATTATGTATGATATTTATCCAGCTCCAGAGATTATGTATGATATTTATCCAGCTCCAGAGATTATGTATGATATTTATCCAGCAATAGAGATCATGTATGATATTTATCCAGCAATAGAATTCATGTATGATATTTATCCAGCACTAGAGATCTTGTATATTTATCCAGCTCCAGAGATCATGTATGATATTTATCCAGCAATAGAGATCATGTATGATATTTATCCAGCAATAGAATTCATGTATGATATTTATCCAGCACTAGAGATCTTGTATGATATTTATCCAGCTCCAGAGATCATGTATGATCTTTATCCAGCTCCAGAGATCATGTATGATATTTATCCAGCAATAGAGATCATGTATGATATTTATCCAGCAATAGAATTCATGTATGATATTTATCCAGCACTAGAGATCTTGTATGATATTTATCCAGCTCCAGAGATCATGTATGATATTTATCCAGCTCCAGAGATATTGTATGATATTTATCCAGCTTTAGAGATTGTGTAGGGGATTTGTCCAGCTTTAGAGATTGTGTAGGAGATTTATCCAGCTTTAGAGATTGTGTAGGAGATTTATCCAGCTTTAGAGATTGTGTATGATATTTATCCAGCTCCAGAGATCTTGTATGATATTTATCCAGCTTTAGAGATTGTGTAGGAGATTTATCCAGCTTTAGAGATTGTGTAGGAGATTTATCCAGCTTTAGAGATTGTGTAGGAGATTTATCCATCTCTGGAGAACATGCATGATATTTATCCAGTGTTTGAGATTGTGAAACTGTATCTTGGCTCAACTGCTCTAACAGAAACCCCTTATATCTTGATAAGAAATTTCATCAGTCAACAAAGTGGTTGAAAATCATATTCCAACCTTGAAGTTGATATGAGTGTTGAAATTACTATCAAGTTAATTTGAAAAGAAATATATATTTTTATAAACATTGGCTTACAAGATCTTAAAATTCTTACAAGTCAAATTGAATTATTCTATCAAAATAAGGTCTTTAGTCTTGACCTGAATCTCAGCCAAATGATAAAACTCGCATCTCAGTCGAGGTTTTTCTGCTGATTACCTTCTGTCAGAACTTGGTACACATGGCAACTGATGCTGAGGAAGGTCAGACATGGGTCAAGGTCATGTGCACTTTCAAACGAGGAGTGCATTTCATTTGTTGAAAAGTAGACATGTTTTCTCTCTTCATAAAGACACAAACATTCTATATGCACATGCTATAAAAGGATTTATTCATGTGGAGGTTTATTTCCATTGATTTTGTTGATTCAGTCCATAAATTCATATTTCAACAAATTGTTAGAATATGTATATCTTTTGGAACTATTTTGATCCACAATATCAAGTGTCCAGGAAAGAGAGATTTTTTTGAAAAACCAAACAATAATTTAACTCCATGAAAATTTCTAATTCACAGTAGATCCTTGATATTTATCCCCATGCATAGTTATTTTCAAGGATTAAAGCTTACCCATTAACGTTGTGCCACATCAAAACATCAATGTTAGGAACTGATAGAAAGGCCAGTAGGAGGAAGAAAACAAAAAGACTGGTTGATCTAGCAATACTGATATTTTCTGGACCAAGAACCTGAACGTTAATTAATATGATACACTTAGATGTTACACTCCAATTTGTTTGTAACATTGACTTAATCTTGAGTAACATATAATACATTCCAAAACTGTTCAGTTGTTGGTAACTTTGACCAAATGTTGCACGCACTATCTATATAGCTGTCCACTGTGTTTTATCTGGTTCTGATTTCATAACTTTGTCATGTCCAGGTGAAGACCAACTTGCTAAACGTCGACAGAAACCAAAAGGACCTGGAGAAGTAAGAACAAAACAACGAAAAACGTCTGTGGACGAATATCAGAATCAAACGTCTAATATGGAAGTGACATCAAACTATATGATGGAGGATCAATCCTCGAATAAGAGCAGTGAAGGTTCATCCTCGCCCTTCAAGTGTGAAATGGAGGAGGATAACATGCCCATTCCCCTGGACGAGGAGATCCAGAAGGAGATTGAGAACTTGGAGTATCAGTACAAATTAGTATTTGACACCCCCTACTCAGACGACCAGATAGATAAACTCACAACCAGTCCTAAATCACCTAATGACCTCTTCAATATGACTGACTTATTTGTGCGCAGGTTAATTCGTTTTGCTAAACATATTCCAGAGTTCAAAACCTTAGCACAAGAAGACCAAATTCATTTACTGAAAGTAAGTATGCAATGACATGTGCGGCTTGATGTAAGAAATATGTGATACTTTCTCAGTGAATGATGCTGATTTCAAATTTTTTCCACATTTAACTGTGCAAGAGGTGACAGATCTTGGTATGTTCATCAGGTCTACTGGTGACAGATCTTTCATACATTCAGCAGATCTGGTGTTAACAGATATTTTGTATATTTACCAGGTCTAATGGAGACAGATATTTTCTATGTTTACCAGGTCTAGTGGAGACAGATATTTTATATGTTTACCAGGTCTAATGGAGACAGATATTTTGTACATTTACCAGGTCTAGTGGTGGCAGATATTTTGTAGGTTTACCAGGTCTAGTAGTGGCAGATATTTTGTATGTTTACCAGGTCTAGTGGTGGCAGATATTTTGTACGTTTACCAGGTCTAGTGGTGGCAGATATTTTCTAAGTTTACCAGGTCTAGTGGTGGCAGATATTTTCTATGTTTACCAGGTCTAGTGGTGGCAGATATTTTGTATGTTTGAAAGGTCTAGTGGTGGCAGATATATTGTGTGTTTACCAGGTCTAGTGGTGGCAGATATTTTCTATGTTTACCAGGTCTAGTGGAGACAGATATTTTCTATGTTTACCAGGTCTAGTGGAGACAGATATTTTGTATGTTTACCAGGTCTAGTGGAGACAGATATTTTGTAGGTTTACCAGGTCTAGTGGAGAGATATTTTGTATGTTTAAAAGGTCTAGTGGTTGTAGATATTTTGTATGTTTAAAAGGTCTAGTGGTGGCAGATATATTGTGTGTTTACCAGGTCTAGTGGTGGCAAATATTTTCTATGTTTACCAGGTCTAGTGGAGACAGATATTTTGTATGTTTACCAGGTCTAGTGGAGAGATATTTTGTATGTTTACCAGGTCTAGTGGAGAGATATTTTGTATGTTTACCAGGTCTAGTGGAGACAGATATTTTGTATGTTTACCAGGTCTAGTGGAGACAGATATTTTCTAGGTTTACCAGGTCTAGTGGAGAGATATTTTGTATGTTTAAAAGGTCTAGTGGTGGCAGATATTTTGTATGTTTAAAAGGTCTAGTGGTGGCAGATATATTGTGTGTTTACCAGGTCTAGTGGTGGCAGATATTTTCTATGTTTACCAGGTCTAGTGGAGACAGATATTTTCTATGTTTACCAGGTCTAGTGGAGACAGATATTTTGTTGGTTTACCAGGTCTAGTGGAGAGATATTTTGTATGTTTACCAGGTCTAGTGGTGGCAGATATTTTCTATGTTGACCAGGTCTAGTGGAGACAGATATTTTCTATGTTTACCAGGTCTAATGGAGACAGATATTTTGTACGTTTACCAGGTCTAGTGGTGGCAGATATTTTCTATGTTTACCAGGTCTAATGGAGACAGATATTTTGTACGTTTACCAGGTCTAGTGGTGGCAGATATTTTCTATGATTACCAGGTCTAATGGAGACAGATATTTTCTATGTTTACCAGGTCTAGTGGTGGCAGATATTTTGTACATTTACCAGGTCTAGTGGTGGCAGATATTTTCTATGTTTACCAGGTCTAGTGGAGACAGATATTTTGTACATTTACCAGGTCTAGTGGTGGCAGATATTTTCTATGTTTACCAGGTCTAGTGGAGACAGATATTTTCTATGTTTACCAGGTCTAATGGTGGCAGATATATTTTATGTTTACCAGGTCTAGTGGTGGCAGATATTTTGTATGTTTAAATGGTCTAGTGGTGGCAGATATTTTCTATGTTTACCAGGTCTAGTGGTGGCAGATATTTTCTATGTTTACCAGGTCTAATGGAGACAGATATTTTGTACGTTTTCCAGGTCTAGTGGTGGCAGATATTTTGTACGTTTAACAGGTGTAATGGAGACAGATATTTTGTACGTTTACCAGGTCTAGTGGTGGCAGATATTTTGTAGGTTTACCAGGTCTAGTGGTGGCAGATATATTTTATGTTTACCAGGTCTAGTGGTGGCAGATATTTTGTATGTTTAAAAGGTCTAGTGGTGGCAGATATTTTCTATGTTTACCAGGTCTAGTGGTGGCAGATATTTTCTATGTTTACCAGGTGTAATGGAGACAGATATTTTGTACGTTTTCCAGGTCTAGTGGTGGCAGATATTTTGTATGTTTACCAGGTGTAATGGAGACAGATATTTTGTACGTTTACCAGGTCTAGTGGTGGCAGATATTTTCTATGTTTACCAGGTCTAGTGGTGGCAGATATATTTTATGTTTACCAGGTCTAGTGGTGGCAGATATTTTGTATGTTTACCAGGTCTAATGGAGGCAGATATTTTGTACGTTTACCAGGTCTAGTGGAGACAGATATTTTGTATGTTTACCAGGTCTAGTGGTGACCAATAGTTTGTATGTTTACCAGGTCTAGTGGTGGCAGATCTTAAGACATTGTACTGGTTTTATTGCGTCATAAATCATGCACTATAAGGCCCAGATTTTAAAATGCCTCAGAGATAAACTTGATGTTACACATATGGTTATATTGAGGTGAATCCAAAAGACTTTTCGACAAAGGAATGAAAATGGATGTGACATTCCCTGTGTAAAGTTGTGCCCTGTGGAACACTTCTGAGATGCCATCTTCCTGCACAGATCTGCTTAGCTCTTGGGTATGCAGGTTTTTGTGTTGCTGAAGGTGACTGTTGTGTAAGCTGCCATCAGTGAGTGATGATGGAGGAGTTTCCCTACAGAAGGGCAGTCATCATCTGTTTTGTTTACAGGACAATACAGGTCGGGAATTTTAAGGATATAAAAATAGGGATTATTCACTTCTGAGAAATGTCAGTGACTACTTTGGAAGACAAAGCAGCTTATATGGCTCAAACTCAGATTTTAAAGGGTATCTGCCATTTCACATAGGAAACATGTCAGAATAATTCAAATAAAATCAACACAATATTCACAAAATAGTGCTTTTTGATTATACAAATTTTATTAGTTTGTAGAAATTTAGAAATGGCTTGAACTGAATCCTTGCTGTCCCTTAAGTCCCTCTCTACAATGTCAGAACACCTATTGGTATAGAATCAACACAATTTTCTTGTCTGATCTGTGTATCAGTAGTTATTGTAGAATATCATCAACAGCTACCATGACAGGTTTTTAAAACATGAGTATTACAGTGGTTTGTGAATAGACCAGGTTCCCCTATTAAGTCATTTCTGATATCATGGTGGTTTGTGGGTAGTCTAGCTACATCTGGTTAGTGATACTGATGTTATGGTGGTTTGTGGGTAACTACACTGATGTTATGGTGGTTTGTGGGTAGTCTTACATCTGGTTAGTGATACTGATGTTATGGTGGTTTGTGGGTAGTCTAGCTACATCTGGTTAGTGATACTGATGTTATGGTGGTTTGTGGGTAGTCTAGCTACATCTGGTTAGTGATACTGATGTTATGGTGGTTTGTGGGTAGTCTAGCTACACCTGGTTAGTGATACTGATGTTATGGTGGTTTGTGGGTAGTCTAGCTACATCTGGTTAGTGATACTGATGTTATGGTGGTTTGTGGGTAGTCTAGCTACATCTGGTTAGTGATACTGATGTTATGGTGGTTTGTGGGTAGTCTAGCTACATCTGGTTAGTGATACTGATGTTATGGTGGTTTGTGGGTAGTCTAGCTACATCTGGTTAGTGATACTGATGTTATGGTGGTTTGTGGGTAGTCTAGCTACATCTGGTTAGTGATACTGATGTTATGGTGGTTTGTGGGTAGTCTAGCTACATCTGGTTAGTGATACTGATGTTATGGTGGTTTATCCTCATCTATTTAGTTTATGGTAGGTTTTTACCTCTTTAGTCACTAATTAGAAGTCTGTATATATGGCACAAGTTAAGTTTATGATGGTCCATTTGCGAGTTCTAAGTTTGACCAGACATCTATTGTCAAATGCTGGTTTTTATTTTCATTTGTCTTTAACCTTATTGGCATTCTTTCCAACAAAAATCCATCTTCTTCAATTTCCTAAACTATTTGAACATCTACATCTAGGGAAGTGTTTTTTCAGTGTGCATAGCATTACAGTATTCAAAACAGAGAACTAGCCTAAATTGAGTACAAAACATTTTCAAACATTTAAAAGTAAAATAAATATCATGATTTGGGTTAATGAATCAGTGGAAAGAAGTGTGTAAAAAAGAACATTTCAAATTTTCAATATTCTGAAACATTAACATTTTAGTGATATACTCCAATATAGCCTGTTAATGGCCTTTCCTAGTACAAGTGTACCTGATGTTTATAGTAGTGATTTATCTTCTAAAATAGCTGTTGGTCATGTGACAGCCTAAATATTAGTTAAAATCAGCAAATATGTTGCCAAAAATATTTTATAGTCAAGGAGTCCATTTTTTCTCAATGAGTCACCACAGTTTTTATTCCTGAGTCACCAGAGTTTTTCTTCTAGAGTCACCATTTATTTTTAGCTCACCTGGCATACTGCAACGTCCATCATCCATCTGTCGGTCATACATCTGTCCACCATTCAACTTTTCCCTACAAATCACTACTAATCACACACAGGACTTTTACCGAATATGGTCAGAAGCATTTTTTAGGGAAATAGAAACAAATTTTTTATAGATACTGGGTCTTGGCTCCCAGACACGTACAGGGCTGGGCCGAAAAGGGGAAATTTTAAAATCCTATTCCTCCTGTAGGAATGATTGGATTCTTCCCAAATTTAGTCTGAAGCATTGTTGGGTGAACGAAATCAGTTTTGTTTGAATTGTAGGTCTTGGCCCTCTGAGGTTGGATAGATACGGCCCAATAGGGATGATAGAGCAAATTCTTTAAAATCCTACTCCTCCTGTATCAATGATTGGATTTTTGGTCCGAAGCATTTTTAGGTGAAGGGGAATCATTTTGGTATAAACCTTGAGTCTCCGCCCCTTTGGGTGGGAGGGGTGTGGCCAAATAGGGGAAATAAAGCAAATTCTCTAAAATCCTACTCCTCTTGAAGGAATGATTAGATTTTGCCTGAAGCATTTTTGGGTAAAGGGGAATCATTTTGGCATAACCTTGGGTCTCGGCCCATGGGGTTAGATGGTCGGGGCCCAAAAGGGGAAATATAGCAAAGAATTGGGCTCAAAAAGGGAAATTGAGCAAATTCTTTAAAATCCTACTTCTCTGTTAGGGATGGATAGATATTGCCCAATTTGGCAAAGATGAGACCCAGAAGAGGACTTTTTGCAAGCTGTTTGAAATCTTACTCCTTCTTAATAAATGGACATTGCCCAAATTTGGTCTAAAGTGTTCTTGGATGGGTGAAAGGGACTAAGTTCTGACCCAATTGGGGAAATAAAAGTTCTTAAAAGTCCTTCTTCCATACAAGGATCTTGTCTAAGTTTGGTCTGAAACAGTTTTAGGAAAAGTGAATCTGACCAGTGTTTGACCACAAGGTTGAGATCCAATAAGGAAATTATATCAGAAATTGTTTGAAATTCTTCATTAAATGGCTGAATAGCTGAAAAAACTGGTGAGCAATGCAGGCCCCTTGGCCCTCTTGTTATTAATATATCACCAAAGTTTTGATTTATTGATGTTCATGAGTCACCAATGTTTGTGTTGGTAATGAGTCAACAATGTTTGTGTTGATGAGTCAACAATGTTTGTGTTGATGAGTCAACAATGTTTGTGTTGATGAGTGACCAATGTTTATGTTGATGGGTCAACAATTTTTGGTGTTGATGAGTGACCAATGTTTATAATGATGAGTCAACAATTTTTGGTGTTGATGAGTGACCAATGTTTATGATGATGAGTCAACAATTTTTGGTGTTGATAAGTGACCAATGTTTATGTTGATGAGTCAACAATTTTTGGTATTGATGAGTGACCAGTGTTTATGGTTATGATGTGTCACCAAGGTTTGTGTTGATGTGTCATCAGCATTTGTGTTGATTTGTCACCAGCGTTTGTGTTGATGTGTCACCAGCGTTTGTGTTGATAAGTTGCAAAATGTATGTTAATGTCGTTAAGTTTCTGTTAATATGTACGTGACAATGTTTTAATATGTGAGTCACAACGTTTTAGTATGCAAGTCACCATGTTTATGTTAGTGAGTCAGTAATTTTTGTCTTCTTTAAAGAACACAGCATTGAAGAAAAGACAATAGGAGATTCAGAAAACAATTGTATAGAGAAACATGGTCACCTTCCTTAATTGATAGAACAATTTACTCTGAACTGAGGGCAGTTAATTTTCCAATGGGAAGACACTATTTCGTTTCCTGTTACCTGTCTTTCTCCAATTAGCCATAACTGACTCTTTACAGCCACTAGTCAATATATATAGAACTTGCAGTATTATAAGATTTCAACATTAAAATCAGGGACTTGCTGCCCTGACAGGATTTTGATGTGTAGTTAATTACTTAAAGATGTATGTGGTAGGTTATGTGTAATAATGTGCCTCATTTCAATGTTTTGTTTTTTTTAGGGTGGAATTATGGAAATCATGGTTCTGCGTTCAGCAATGGGATTTGACAGCTCGCAGATGGGCTGGAAAGTCAAAGGTCAAAGCATTGGAGAAAAGACATTAGGTCCTCAGATGATTCAGAATACATTGGGTAATGGCATGTACATAGAACATATAAAGTTTGTCATGTCACTCAACCAACTGACTCATGCCAACAAAACCATCATGACCTTGCTATTTGTTATTGAACTTTTTTCCTCTGATCGGCCAAATGTGAAAAACAAAGAGTTAGTTTCTCAAGGCCAAGAAAAGTTCTCCACCTGGCTCAAGGCTTATCTTGAGTCTTTACATCCGCTCACGGAAGCTCGATCTCTCTATCCAAAGTTGCTGATGAAACTCCTGGATGTACGGAGTCTTGGTGAATCAAGTGCACAAATGGCGGCCCATTTGGATATAACACGACTGGAGCCGTTGTTAGTGGAGGTTTTCAGTTTACAGAAATGATCCTTTAGAGGATGTTTGATGTTCACAATTAACATTGCAGGGACTTAAACCATACCAATCATTATTGTACATGTCTCACATGGTGTGTGTGGCCCAGACACTCGACGGATGGACTAAGAATGTCCTTAAAACTACAATGGGCTGATCAGTCATTCCCATTAAATTGACTGAGGCTCCAACTACAAAGTGCTATGAAATGAACGATAGTGCTACATTGTGCTATTTAGTCTAAAATAGTGCTACTTAGGCAACAGCTCAGTGGAACTGTAAACCAGTCAGAAACCCTTGCTATATATATATATCCACTGCACGTGTATCTCTTGTACCCAGCGCCCACAGAACTCTCACCCGATAGGTTCCAACTTAAATCAAACGGCAGCTTTATTTTGTGATTTTACAGTAGGACCTTAAATAGTTATGGAGCTGGATGTGATGTCGTTAAGTTATCTCCCTTTATTTCAGGTGTCAAAGCTCAGTGTATCTTAACAACATTAACCAAGTTCAAGGAGATTGATAGGTCTTATATTGCCATCAGCCTTGACCTGTAGTACTGCCACAAAGTATCAGCTTCAGTGAACTGTTTTAGTTACACACCAGAAACATCATGGGACCTCTAATAATCTAGATATGATCTAACCAGGGAGAGGTTTTAACCACTTGCTGCTAAAATTATGAGTAAATTCCATTTGGACCAAGAAAAGCGGACTGTAGTGTAAAACGTAGGACTGGACAATTTGGAAAGTCTAAAGTGATATGATAAAGAAATGTGGATGTCATGTGACTGACATAAAATGTGATTGTTACAGAAATATGGTTACTAATGTGAAGGATTTTTCTTTTATAAAAAGAAGATTGAGTGTCTACCTCTGCACAAAGATAGATATTTATTGTGTAAGACAAAATCAGTCTTTGTTTTCCTCAACAGACAAATTCTGTTTGTAGGAATGTGAAATGTGATACCACAAAGTATAGAATAATTGGATAAATTGAGGAATTTGTTGTGAGACAGCATTGCTAAATGGTTACTTGTTTAAGTCGCCTGATCAATGGTGAAATGACGATAAATGATCAGGGTCCAGTGTGTTGTGAGTTATCTCCCTCAGAATGACAACGAAAATGTGGTTGTGGAGATCGCTACCCAGGAAAAGCTGACTGCTCTAATAGATATTGGATCTTCCAGGTACAAGACTAGAATGGTGTAACCATTCTTATGATACTAAAGTTTTCTTTGTGCAACTGTACAGAATTGGCTGAACACACTAGGGAAACTGTGGACTTAAGGATGCGACTGACCAGATCTGACTGACCACTCCTCATCATCACTCCTGTATAGTGAAAATACTTACTCTGCTTGTGTCTGACGTGTCTGTTGCATGTTCATACTGTCGTCATTATAGATCACTAATGACAGGGTCTGTCTCACAGGATACGTCACTTTATCTGTTGGCAATCACAGGATGAATTACTATATCAACAGTTTTGTCAACAATTGCAGGACGGAAAACTGGATAGATGGTTCTGTCATCATCACAGGATGGATCACTGTATCGATGGTTCTGTCATCATCACAGGATGGATCACTGTATCGATGGTTCTGTCATCATCACAGGATGGATCACTGTATCGATGGTTCTGTCATCTGTATGGATGGTTCTGTCATCATCACAGGATGGATCACTGTATCGATGGTTCTGTCATCATCACAGGATGGATCACTGTATCGATGGTTCTGTCATCATCACAGGATGGATCACTGTATCGATGGTTCTGTCGTCATCACAAGATGGCTTACTATATTGACGGTTCTGTCGTCATCGCAGAATGAATCACCAGATGGATGGTTCTGTTGGCAGTCACCGTATCAATGTTTCTGTCATCATTACAGATCACTGTACTACCTTTGTGGTAACACTGATTTCTGAAGTAATTCTGGACTGTATTACTGGTATCATACTTCCCTCTATTATCATCATTATCTATTTCAATGTATGAGTTTGTCATGTACAGGTTACATGACTACTGTTATTTTTAGCTCTGTATACATGTCATAGTTTAAATAATGCTCTCATTTAAGAATTCAGAATGGAGGCAACAAGGTAAAGAATCAATCTAAGAAATATTTCTTGGGTATTTTGTGTCATTTTTTTTTCTTTATACTTTATTTTTTCCTGTAAAAGAAGATGTAAGAAGATAAGCATTGGTTTTATTGGCCAATGGTTAATTTTCCTCAGAAAAGGCTTGTACTGTTTGTCCGTATCGATTTTTCAACTAAAAATCACTTGACAAATTGAAAATATGAAGACATATTAACACATATGAGCCACAGTTTACATATAAATAATTTCACTGAGATGTTTTCTATAATGATTTTCAAAAGCAACCACAATTGAAATGATCAAAGTAAAAGTGAATTTGACAAAAATACCTTTAACGTTGAGTTGTGTAATTGGCTTAATTAATATAGGGAAATGTACTTAGTGGAAATCAGGCCAGAAAATGTATATGGGAAAATACTGAAGATAGATGACATTAAACTCTCCTGATCTCAACATGCCTCTCACTGCCATTTCTAAATACATCAAATCTTAAAAGTGCGTCAAAGCCTGGAATTGGATCATTGATCCCCAGCATTTACTAAAATAGTAGCACAAGATTCATTACCTACCTTAATCACTGATCAGCTACATCTCTGATTGTAACTACTCTTTATTTTGTGTACAATATAGAGTGTCACTCCGCAGCATTTTGTTCTGGTCTTCGTATCCAAGGTTTCAGTGAGCACAGATAGAGTGGTAAAAAGTTTGGCTCAGTTATTGAATGTACCAGAAACCACTTTATTATGTGTTCTCCATAAAAAAAGGTGTACAGATCTTTCATATACTAGTAAGTTTGTGACAACCTGCTATTCTATCAGTGTTAGGTCTATGGTAGCTGTATAAGGATTCTCAGATAGGCTTGGGGAGGCAATCCTACTGAACCACTGAAGGGCACATTTCCTTTTTCTTGGCAAGACAGCACCTTGGTGTCCATAGGGATCAGGATTTCTGGTATCAATGTGATGTAATGCTCAGAATCTCAAGTATCAATGTCATGTATCATACAAACATGTGCTGTCGTCAACGATTACCAACTATTGCAAACTTTATGTCAGAAACATATACGATATAACTTCCATGGAACTACACTGATCATGTACTACAAAGTATATAGTGAACACTGTCAGACAATATAACTACCATGGAACTACACTGATCATGTACTACAAAGTATATAGTGAACACTGTCAGACAATATAACTACCATGGAACTACACTGATCATGTACTACAAAGTATATAGTGAACACTGTCAGACAATATAACTACCATGGAACTACACTGATCATGTACTACAAAGTATATAGTGAACACTGTAAGACTTTTCATCGCTTATTTTTGTTAAGTACTCACATATGTATTTAATGAAACTAAGATCATGCTGTAGGGCAAGTAGGGGGGAAACTTAGATTTCTTTGAACATCTTCAGGCATTTCTAACAAGCAAGTCCTTCCAAAAAAATAAACAAAGCAAAAGATATAAAAGGGAACCTCATTGTCTGGGAATCAAATTTACAAATAATAAGGGAAGCAAATTATTATTATTTAGGCCCCCTTACTTCTACAAAGAGTTATGCAGTCCTGACACTGGCTACAAGCATGTATCTTAGTCCAGCATAACAATATACCAACCACTTGCCTGCCATTAAAAATGTGTTAGAAAACAAGATGTTTTGGTAGGCAATATTATAAAGAACAAGATTTTTTGTTAAATAGTGTTTGAAAAGAAGTTTTTGTATTAGTAATACCTTATATGAGGATCAGTGATAATTTTTTCTATTATTCTTTTAAAATCATGTCACAAAACAAGTTAACATCAGAAAATTGTTTGCATGAGGGCATTGAAGACAAGCTTTTGTAAGACCATGTTTAAGGACAATTTCAGATAGGATTATGTTTTATGTTCTTCATAAGTTCATGTGTATTGTTTTGTGATCGTAAGATCATTAATAGTGTGAGAAACAGTAAATAAAAGTGATGAATTGGAATTGTGTAGGAAACAGGTAAAACATTACATATAATGCTGCTAAGTTTTAATCACATTTATCATGAAGTTCATTTGTCATGTGAGTTTACATATTTAATCATATAAATACACTGCATGATCACACTGTCTAATGACCTTAACTGACTCTTCCTCTGACTATGATCACACTGTCTAATGACCTTTACTGACTCTTCCTCTGATTATGATCACACTGTCTGATAACTTTAACTGACCCTTCCTCTGATTATGATCACACTGTCTGATAACCTTAACTGACTCTTCCTCTGATTATGATCACACTGTCTGATAACCTTAACTGACCCTTCCTCTGATTATGATCACACTGTCTGATGACCTTAACTGACTCTTCCTCTGATTATGATCACACTGTCTGATGACCTTAACTGACTCTTCCTCTGATTATGATCACACTGTCTGATGACCTTAACTGACTCTTCCTCTGACTATGATCACACTGTCTAATGACCTTAACTGACTCTTCCTCTGATTATGATCACACTGTCTAATGACCTTAACTGACTCTTCCTCTGACTATGATCACACTGTCTGATAACCTTAACTGACTCTTCCTCTGATTATGATCACACTGTCTGATAACCTTAACTGACCCTTCCTCTGATTATGATCACACTGTCTGATGACCTTAACTGACTCTTCCTCTGATTATGATCACACTGTCTGATGACCTTAACTGACTCTTCCTCTGATTATGATCACACTGTCTGATGACCTTAACTGACTCTTCCTCTGACTATGATCACACTGTCTAATGACCTTAACTGACTCTTCCTCTGATTATGATCACACTGTCTAATGACCTTAACTGACTTCCTCTGACTATGATCACACTGTCTAATGACCTTAACTGACTTCCTCTGATTATGATCACACTGTCTGA